GACTGAGCCGAAGAACCTCTTGAGTCAGCTGTGCCATGAAAGATGATCCTCGATCTGTGATCAACACTTCGGGTGCGCCGTGTCGAAGGAGGATGGACTCGACGAAAAACTTGGCGACTTCCAGCGCTTTTCCCGATGGCAGGGCTTTCGTCTCGGCGTATCGTGTAAGATAATCGGGTGCGAATAAAATCCAACGATTTCCTTGCGTCGATGTTGGGAACGGCCCAAGTGAGTCCATTCCGACCTGCTGGAAGGGCGTAGTCGGGGCGGGTATCGGCTGCAGGAGTCCCGCTGGCTTCGTTGGAGGCCTCTTACGTCGTTGGCATTCATGGCACGACCTTGTGTACAGATGGACTGTTTTTGGGAGTCTTTCTTTCCCTTTCTGCTCCGTCTTGTCTCTGGACGAGTACCGCACCGAGTCCGTCGTTGCTGGCGTCCGTGTGAACTTCCGTTTCCGCTGATGGATCGAAGTGTCCGAGGATGGGGGGTGACTGGAGTCTTTCCTTCAGTTCGTTGAACGCTTGTTCTTGCTCCTACCCCCACTGGAAGTTCACGTCGTCCTTCGTCAGATGCGTGAGCGGTGCAGAAATCTTGGAAAAATCGCGAACGAAACGTCTGTAGTAAGCGCACAGCCCAAGAAATCGTCTGACGGCTTTCTTGTCTGATGGCTTCGGAAATTTGGCAACAGCAGATGTCTTTGCAGGATCAGGGTTTACACCCTGAGCACTCACATGGCCCAGAAATTTGAGCTCGCCGTAGGCGAACCGACATTTTGACGGCTTTAGTGTCAGTCCAGCATTCTGGATAGCCTGTAGCACGGCTCGCAAACGTCTCAGGTGCTCGTCGAAGTCGCTTGCGAATACCACGACGTCGTCGAGATAGACGAGGCAACTTTGCCATTTCATGCCGGAAAGAACGGTGTCCATTACGCGCTGGAACGTCGCCGGTGCTGTGCACAGTCCGAACGGCATCACTTTAAATTCGTACAGTGCGTCCGGCGTGACGAAGGCAGTCTTCTCACGATCCCGTTCGTCGACCTCGATCTGCCAGTACCCACTCTTGAGGTCCATCGGCGAAAAGTATCGGGCGTGGCGCAGCCGGTCCAGAGTGTCGTCGACGCGTGGCAGCGGGTAGACGTCTTTTTTTGTTACGGCGTTTAGTCGACGATAGTGCACGCAGAACCGAAGAGTCCCGTCTTTCTTTTTCACCAGGACTACCGGTGAAGCCCACGGACTGTTTGAGGGCTGAACGATGTCGTCGTCGAGCATTTCTTGGACCTGCTTCTGGATCACTTCTCTCTCTTTCACAGAGACACGATACGGTGACCGATGAGCAGGAAGGGTGTCGTCATCAGAAATAATTTTATGTTTCGCAATAGTCGTTTTGAGCACCTTTGATGACGTAGAGAAGCACTCACTGAACTCGACGAGAAGGTCACTGATTTGTCGTCGTTGTGGGGTAGGCAGGACTGGGTTGATGTCAAACTGCGAATACGGCGTTGTGTCGTGTTGCCACGAAGAGAGGTCTTCTGCTATTCCGGTAATTGCGGCTGAGTTCGCGAGTTCCTCGGCGTGACCCACGGCGGTGCCTTTCGTAAGGTGCTGAGCCTCCTGTCGGAAGTTTGTTACGAGTGCAACAGTGTGTCCGTCTTAGAGCTCCGCGATGCCTCTTGCGACGCCGATCCCTCTTCCTAGAAGCAGCTGGAGGCTTCCCTCGAGCAGAACGTCGCCACAGAAAGCCTCCTCAATCCCGATGGGTACGAAAACACACGATCGCGGCGGTAAGTTCACGTGATTTGCGAGGACTCGGACCGCGGATGATGTCGCTTTGGGTTCCTTCACCGCTGGAGCAGGTTTTCGTAGCGTCAGCCGGTTTTCTCCGAGGTCGATGACGGCGCCATACTCGCAAAGAAAGTCCATTCCTAGGTTAACGTCCCTCGAACAATCTTGCAGAACGACGAACTTGACAGGGCACGTCTCACCGTGGATCTCGACGCGAGCAGTGCAGATCCCGACTGGTGTGATGAGGTGCCCACCGGCGGTCCGTATCTGTGGGCCATCCCACGGCGTCGTCACTTTCCGAAGGCGTTGGGAGAGCCTCCCACTCAGGACGAAGTAGTCTGCACCCGTGTCGACGAGAGCCGACGCGTTGTGGCCGTCGATAACGACGAGTATAGTTATTCTTCACCGTTGCAGGAGCGTCACTTCGGTCTCTGGAGGTGTTTGAGTGGGGGCCCTCCGACGTTCGTGGAGCATCTTGGCGTCGGTCGTCTTCGGCAACTCCACCTCCAGGGGTTGCCGCGCCTATTTTCCCCGGCGAGGAGCGAGGGGCGACAGGCTTTCACGTCGGGGTCGGTGCATCGGCGAAGCTGGACGTCGTGGTGACGGCGACCGGGATACGCGGCGAGCTGCAGGGGGAGACTGAGGTCGTCGGAGGTATTCTTCGATCTCCCGCGGTCGTTCACCGGAGCGTGGACGTGGACCGTTCGGGTGGAAGCCACGCAGCCCAATTTGCCGGTAAGGGCAGCGGCGGTAGAAATGGTCGGCCTCCCCGCAGTGGTAGCAGATGGGTCGTCGATCCGCTGTCCTCCACACGTCGGTTTTCCACGGCGCCAACTGTTCTCGGCGGTCGTACTGACGTCCTTCGTCGTTTTGTCGGGGGTACGTCTGCGTTGGTGGGTCTCGTCGTGGCGCCACCGGGTAATGACGAGCAGTTGGCGGTGGTCGTCGGGCCACTGTGGCGTAGGTCAGCGTCGGCTCATCGGCTGCGGCCACGGTGACAGGGGCGTCCGGAAGGAACGCTCGCTGAACCTCGTCCCGAACAACCTCAGCAACGGAGATTGAGGCCGGGCGCTCAGCAGTCGGCAGAAGCTTCTTAAGCTCCTCCCGGACAACCTCGCGAATGAGCTCTCGAATGCCAGGGATACCGTGGGCAAGGTTGCAAGGGGACTGCGGAACTGCGCTGACGCCGGGTAGCCTCTGGTAGTGGCTGGCTCGGGCTTGCAGGGCACGCTCGATGTTCGTCGCCTCGGTGACAAAAGCTTCGATAGTTGTCGGAGGGTTACGAACAAGGTCGCCGAGGATGTTTTCTTTCACGCCCCGCATCAGGAACCGCAACTTCTTCTCTTCAGGAGCGTTTGGGTCGGCGCGGTTCATGAGGCGGAGAACGTCCTCGACGAAACTAGTGACGCTCTCGTTTGGCCCTTGGCTTCTTGCTTGAAGAAATTCTTCGGCTCGCTGACGTCACTGCTGGCTGGCCAAAGTGCGTCGAAGCTCCGCCTGGAATTCTTGCCACGACGAAATTGACGCTTCGTGGTTTTCGAACCACGTGCGTGCCGTGCCTTCCAGAGCGAAGTAGACATTCTGGAGGCACTGCTCCGGTGTCCATGCGTTATGGCGGGCAACTCGTTCGTAATGTTGCCGCCAATCTTCAACGTCCTCGTGGACCTCCCCGTGGAATGGCGTCGGAGTCCTGGGTGCGACGGGAAGGTATACGACTGTGGCGGCGGACGGGTCCTGCGACGACTGGTTGTCCATCGTCGGCCTCGTTGGCTGCCTGGTCCTGGGTGGCAGAAGTCCGTATTCCGGGGGTAGACCTTGGGTGCGGCGACTGGATCGGGTCGTAGGTTCCTCGCAGAGTGGTCTTCTCACCAGGCTTGGAATCGGACTTGCACTGCGGGCCCCTGGAGGGGAACGCTGCACGGGCATGCGGTACCCCGCACCTCCACCAAAAATGTCATGAAGGAACAAAAGAGAAAACATAGAATAACTGAGGAAACTGAATCGTTTAATGGGGCGAACTTGTGCCCAAGAAATAAAAGAGGAAACAAGATAAGAGCAGAGCGTCGCGGGCGTCGAAGTCGGCGAAAGAGCAGAATCGAGCGCTGGGGCGAGACTGACTCGACAAGGTCGCGGGCGGCCTCTTATCTAAGGTGAGTCACTATCTCGAAGATTCGACGGAGAAGGTTCGAGCGTAGCGCGCTCGGGGCGAGAATGAACACGCACTTTCTGGAAAAACTAAAGCAGGGATAAATGATAGAAGCTACGTCCAGAACAAGAATAAACGAGAACTTTCTAGAGGTCCGTGACCGAGCGTTGCTTCCTCGGTTCTGCGCGCGGCAATATATGTAGCTCCGTCATTTAGTTATACAGGAATCTCTAAAGTACGCGCGGCAATATATGTAGCTCCGTCATTTAGTTATACAGGAATCTCTAAAGTACGCGCGGCAATATATGTAGCTCCGTCATTTAGTTATACAGGAATCTCTCATAAGTTATTGTATATTTTCGAAGCGAAACGCTTCGCTTGTTCATTTTGTTTCGTTGAGCACTGTGTTTCGCGTTGTTCTTGACAATATTTTGTATAAAACGTATCATCTATTTCGTATT